AATCCAGTTGTGCACAATCAGATACACCTGATAACAGGGGGCAGAAGACTACACAAACAATTATCTTGACTTATCGCATAGTGATAAATTAATAATATAGAAAAATTCATTTTTGTTTTTTTCATATTTTGTTAATAGGCCAAATAAAGACTTAAAACCAAAAAATATATATTTTCTGTTTTGTTTTATTCTTGGATCAGTCTTTAAAGGGTTAAAGAATTTACATGGAACACAACTAAAGTGGAAATAATGTGAATTATCATGTTAATTTGTGGTCTTCTAGAATTTGTAAAGATACTCATTGGCCTGATGATACAGTAACAGATACTGCTCTAAAGCTAAAGTAAATAGGTTCTGTCAGAGAGGTGAGTTTTATCTTTTTGTATTTTTGCACCGACATCTCCAGGTCTTCATATCATGATGCTTGTGAGATTCATACATATGTTCCGGGCAGTTTTGATAATCCATTTCTCAGCCTCCCAATCTGGGGCATTACTTACCAAATGCTTGGGAAGCCATTGGAAGTTTTTCAGAATGGATGATTTTTGGCCTCCAGACAGAACTGTCTGTGTTCTATTATTGGGGGGAGTTAAATATTGAGTTACAGAGTGTGGTACTCAGCCATGTAACTTAGTTACACAGAGCTCCATTTGCCAACATAGTTTGACAGAGGACAGGAACTCACAAATTCCTCTTGCAGCTTTTAAATGGTGCGAACAGACTGATGTTTCAGTGCTACCATGTCATCATCAGTATTTCACCGGCACATTTGTTAATGGGTTTCATCGGTCAGACTTACAAACAGCATTCTGAAACAGGAGTTTGATCTTAACAGGAGCAGCGCCGATGCCATCTTCTGTAGATTCTGTCAGTCTTAAATGCAAACTGGACTGGGCCTGTGGCTGTCTGGGTTCATTTTGTTGATGTACTGCGGATCCATCTATCCATCCATTATCGTTACCGCTTATTCCCTAATGGAGAGAACTGGAGCCTACCCCAGTGGTCAATGGGCGACAGTCCACCAGTCCATCGCAGGGCCATGTACTGCACATCCACTTTATAAAAGGTCTCAATCAAAGTCACACCATGGCAGTCATTTAAACTAGACTATGCTAACCTTCTAAATACAGTGACTTGATAGTGACTGTCTTAAAACCACAAGGGAACCATGATAGACTGGTGATATATTAAGGTTGCTGGTGAGGAATGATGGTTTTTAGTACATCTGTACTGAAGATGTTTCCGTTTGAACAGAGTCTCACTCGCTTTTGCTTGACTCTTTCTCTTTTCCGTGGTCGTGGGCTTTCTTGTCCCTCTCCTATCTCCTCCTATCGCTTTCTGCAGATGTTCCTGGCTGTGGAAGCTGGATCTGTGATCGGGAGTCTCCCCCTTCCCCCGTGTTCCTACTCAAATCAGAATCAGAATCAGAACAAGGTTTATTGCCAAGTAAGTTTTTCACTTACAAGGAATTTGCCTGAATTTGTGATTACAACCACTATTCATAGTCTTATTGCTATTATTACTGCTATCATTATCATTAGTATCAATATCATTGCCATTTTTCATCCAGTCTATGTGTTAGTGTGTAGGCTCCCTCTGTCCTTCTCTCTCTCTCTCTCTCTCTCTCACCCCCAACCGGCTGAGGCAGATGGCCGCTCACCCAGAGCCATGGTTCTGCTCGAGGTTTCTGCCTGTTAAAAGGAAGTTTTTCCTTGCCTGTGTCGCCTAGTGCTTGCTCTTGGTGGGAATTGTTGGGCTTCTGTAAATAACTTCAGAGTAGTAGTAGGGTGCGACATGCTCTGTTTGGAAAGCGCTGTGAGACAACTGTTGTTGCGTTATATAAATAAAATTGAATTGAACTGAATTGAGTACTAACTGTGACAGGTCAGGCTGTGGAGAAAAAGTTATAGGTTTTTGTGGAGATCAAAGTAAAATATACAAGGTCTGTATAGCCTTGGATGCAATTGTTAATTATCTTTGCCCCCACTGAATGTCAGGGGAGGCGGATCTTGATGGAGGACTCAGACGCGGAGATGCGGAAAACAGGGTTTATTGTAACAAAAACGAGGTCAAAAAACAGGGCTGTGGCAAAACTATGAGCAAAGTAACAAAGCAAGGTTAACAAAGCTGTGGCAAAGTATCAAAACAAGACTGTGGCAAAAGTACAAACAAAATTAACATGGCAGTGGTCAAACAAGGCTATGGCAAAGTAACAAAATAAAGATGAACAAAACTGTGGCAAGGCTGTGGCAAAACATGGCTATGGGAAATAATCAAAACTTTACATGACGTGGGGAGACGAGAGACGAAAGACGCAAACGAACTGGCACAGGACATGGGAAACGAGGACTATTTAAACACATGAGGAAGGGGGAACCCCAGGTGTACACAATAGGTAATAAACACATGACGAGACACCAGGCATCCCCCAGACGTGACACTGAATTATATGTTCCCATGACTCATGTGGGTCCCCTGGGTGTCCCTTCCCTTCAAGACCTGCTTGTACACTGCTGTACACAAAAAAAAGTATAGTCAGGTTACTGCATTTTCATTTTTCCAAAGGAGAAAGTTAGATTCAAAGAATGTACTGTCTTACAAACTAAAAATGGTGACCTGGAAGATCGCTGTATTGCCTCACTGTTCGCACAATCCTCCTCCACTCCACATACAGTATTAGGATATTGTGACCGGTCAAAATAAAACACAATCAGCACAATAACATATTCTAGGATGTTTGGTTCATTTTCTGATCTCCACTTCCCATTGCTCTTGTGATAGGAACATTTTTTACAGAATATCTTTTCACTTTTGAATAGGTTTGAGGAATATCTTTAGGTCAGTGGAAATATTTGCCCAATTTCTTGTTCCAACTAGACTCTGAAATTCTTGAACTATCCCCAACAGTTTTAAAAGTTAGAACACAGTCATCTTAATACCATCAGTACTAAAAAAGACAACTGGGGTGATTGGAGAAAGTGGTATGTTTGTGACAGTCTGCATCTTGGATCACATGATATAATCTCCTTTTACTTTTGTGATTTACAGATGGAAAGCAAAGACCTGATATTTTGAGGTTGAGTTATTCAAAACTTTATGGTTATGCTGTACTGAAACAGCTTGAAATACCATCGGCCTGTCTAATTCCCACATTAGAAAATAAAGTAAATTATCAATGAATCAATGTATTAATGTAAATTAGTTTGGAAAATAAGAGACACATAATTTGTATCCCATATTTTAAAGGCCTCATGTTTTCAATTCTGCCACACTTGTTGACATGTTAGAGTTACTTGAAAAAGGCATAAAGCCAACAGCTGTTCAGTCAAAGGACATTTTTTGTCTCTCATTAGATTCAAGATAATTCTGAAGTGACTCAATTTTCCAGTCGAGTGGTAAAATATGCTTGGGGTTTAAATGTTCCCATTACATTACAGATGGAGCTCCCGTGTTTTGTACTTACTTCTGTCATTGTGTCTAATTTCTAGTGGAGTACTGCTAAATCGGCCTTTATGCCACAGATTCCCTTTTGAATGTTCTTGTCTCCCTCTGCAGGACATCAGCTGAGATCACCATTCACTTAAGTTTCATCTTACCACTGTACCATCTTACCACTTGAGCCCCCAACTGTATTACAGCACAAATAACATTTCTGTGTACTTTGCTTTATGTGTGGTAAAATGTTCAAATACTTTGCACATTTCTCTTCTGAGTTTATTTTCTGACTTGTACCAGCAAAGTATAAAAGTTAAATATATTAAACTTCTGAAATAACTGAAAATGTAAAAAGGTTTATCATTGATGTTTATCATTATTATTGATCAGGTAAGTATATTTCATTCTCATCTTTCTTTTGGATTCTTTTTTTGTTCAATCTAATGATTATGTGTACCTTTCTGAAGATGAGAAAACTTAGAAAATTAACCCTTTAAAGCCTGATCCAAGAATAAAACAAAACAGAAAATTACTTTTTTTTGGTTTGAACTCCTTATTTGGCCTTTTAACAAAATATGTAAAAAGAAAAAACACAAATACATTTTTAATATTAATAATTTATTACTATGCAATAAGTCAAGATTATTTTTTGTGTAGTCTTCTGCCCCTGTTATCAGGTGTATTTGATTGTGTACAATAGGACTTTGAGCAGAGTCGCAAAACATTTCAGAAACCGTATGTATCAAATATGATACATTTGGCATTATAGGGTTAAGTTGAGTTTTTAAGACCATCTGTGAATATACAACATCTTTATTCCACCAAGCCACTCCATCCTAGGCCTAATGTTGTTATACAGTTGACCTTGCTACTCTGTAAAGTATTTATTCTTTTATTTGAATTTCTGTGTTTAATGTTTTGATGGTGTGTTGGAACACATTACAAGATGAACTCATATCTCCTCTTTTACAAATGACACATGCGAGTTAAATAAAATGCCACAGTCGTCATGTATTTCTTTCTTGTCTGATTTCACATGGTTGATGTGTGTGCAATCCGATCGCATTACACCGCGCACAGCAAAGGGCTGCGTTAGTCATCAAGGCATATCTGTGTAAGCGGGCTGGAGACGGCCCCTGCCGAGACGCCCACGGGATGCATTTTCACATTTAATGATGTCATAGCCAGAGACTTCCTGAACACAAGGTTCATTCACAGAGCCCTCCTCCTGGCAGAGGACAGAGCTCCAAACAAGCCATGTCCATGGCAACTGCAGCCTCTGGACATGCACGTTGTTGTCCGGTTATTTAAGGGGAACACTTGAAACTTTGCACGTGGCGACATTAATGGCATGCAATCTTCATGGGTTTAATTTGTAAGTATTATCGTGTTGCAGAAAAGTGAACTATTACATCCGCTTCTGGCTCAAAGCATTTGATGAGTCACTGTAAACTATTTTTTTCCCAGAATGGACACCAGATCAAGTGCACACAAGAGATCTGATTCTTTTTTTTTTAACATGAGAGTAGCATAAGTAAATAAGACATAACAACATGACAATATTCATATATGTGGTTATTGTTTATTGCTTCTTTTAGGGATACAAAAATAGCCTGAAAAGAGTTTTTTAGAGGCACAAAGATTCCAAGGGAAACTTACATATACAAGGCAGCTATGAATAAAAAGAATACAATAGTACTTATTATATACTGTAGTTATTAGAAAAGATGAGATAGTATCTTGTATAGGCAAAAAAAAAACTAGTCTGGGTAAATGTATCATAATTATGAACACCAAAAGAAATGTTACCATGTGAATAAAAGGACAGAGGATGCAAATCTTCCTATGACATTGAATATTCTATACAAGAACAGATCAATTATATATGACAAAAAAAATATTTGCCTCTATTCAAGATTCCTCAAACTTTATAAAAAAATCATTTACAAGAAGGGGGAAACATAGATTACATTCAATAAATGTAAAATGCATTGGTGCGGTACTGGCTCAATCAGATAAATCATAAATGATCAAGATTTGCTTTACTATCACATAATAAAATAATCTTTTCTATAACATATGACCAATTCAAATATCAAACATTGTAATTCAGTCTTACATTTTGCTTTGAAGTGTTTTAGCACATTCATATTTCCTTGTTTTAAAAACAAAATGACAAAAGTGGCACATTTATGGGCTTCAATTCCCTATACATGTATTAAATGTATCTCATTCATTTGTTACCCATCCTTAGAGAATATCACTTTGTAATTACACTATGATGGAAATTCCAGAAAAATGTCCATGATTTTTATACTCTGTAAACATTGTAGTTATGCACAGTTGCTTTTAGAATAATGATTGTCAATGCAGAGGTGCAAAATGCAAGTATACATGTCATATAGAAATTCTGCAGTTTAAGCTTTGGACATGTCATTTTAGATTGCAGGAAAACAAAAACACCAATTTAATGTAATCAATATCACTAACACACGAAAAATCAAATTAGAATTATTAAACAAGAATAAACCTAGTTTAAAATTTTTGCAAACATTTCTAATTTTTGCATGAGCCAGACGTTAAATGGGTGTTTTCTTTTTTCACTACAAGTTCAAAAATTAAGATTTTAAAATCCTTTAATAAACACTTTGTCTCCATAGTACTATCACTATCACGGAAACTTTGGCATCAGAATATGTCCAAATACAAATATTACATTTCTAAATTATTCACAATTGAATTACTTATTCAATTATTCTATAAAAGTATAAAGAAAAAAAACCTCCTTCCTCCTACACGAACCCCGCCCGTCCTACTTCCCATCTTCCCAACAATGCATATCGGGCAAAATCACTATAGCTTGTATGTTTAAGGCAAAATGCGTTTCCTGGAAAACTTAAAGTATCCTGACCAGCATGTTAGTAGGCTTTATAGTAAACTATACAGAAATGTACATACAATGCACACACTAATAAAACAATTTAATAAAAAGTCAAGCCACCAGAAATATTTTGACATCTGGCTTTTCTTTTGGTGTAAAATCTTTTGGTAAAACTGGTACTTTGGTAAATTGCTACATCTGTTTTTTTATCCTGTTTGAACAAACTTGATAAAACTACCTTAATTTGATAATTTCCTTTATTTTCACTCTTTTTAGGAATAAAACCGAGGCAGAATTTGAACAGACAAAGGACAAACTAAGGCACACTTGCCTGTCTTTTGTCCTCCATATTGGAAACCTGAGTGTTGATGGCAGATTGGATGGGTAAAATTAATTCTGTTTACAACATGTTTTATTGCAGGAAAACATTCAGAGCAAACACAGCAGCCAGGAGTCTATCCGGATGGGTAAAGAAAATAAGAGAGAAATACTGATTGTTGGTAGAAGCGTGTCACCTCAATGGAACTTTGAAAATTGCGTGTGCGTGTCGGCCTGTACATTGCTGACAGGAAGCGGGTATGTTGTCATTTCCTCTTTCAGTCTGTCGCCTATGTCTGCCCTCTGACCTGAGTGCCCGTAAGATCCTTTCTTATGATCTCATTCACTGTAAAGAAAATAAAGATATGGATATTAGACAAAGACAGGATGAATTGTGTGATTTTAAAAATCAAATGCAAAACAGTTCATTTTAAGACGCTAGACAAAAAGTAAACTGAGCATTCTTGCTTGCTTTTGGTCAGCTGCATATAAACAAATCAGCAGAAAAAATGGGGGTTAGAAAGGGAAAGTTCTAGAAAAGTAGCCTACAATGAAAATAATGGCATTAAACATACAGTACATGAGATTTTGCACATCTGCACATGTATCCTTCAACTCAAATTTGACTTTTACATGTGTCTCCAGATAAAACAGCTTGTGTCAACCGTAAAATGAAACGCAAGTAGAAGAACATGTGACATGATTATTACTCTTACTACTTCAACCAGTTAGCCCGGTTAGGCTCTTTGTTAAGGTTGGAGGAATGACAAGAATGTGCAACATGTCATCTTTCCACATATCCACTGTCCTTAGCTCTAGTGTTTCACCAAATCTAAAATGCTACAATGTGTATTTCTACAGTATATAAACTGGCTGTCTCTGATATTAGCGATTAGCGTGAATGCCTGTATTATGCCTCAGCAATCTTATTAGGGCTAATGAGTAATACAAGTATGTCAATGTCAACTACAAAAAGGCTATGTGACCACAGGCGGGCTAACACATCCTAATTTTGTAACCATGCTAATGAGCAACACTGGTAATGCTATTGTTACTATTCATCTGGGTAATGCTAACCACCAGCATTGGTAAATGGGGACAGTTCTTTTTTTAGTTGACAGATATAACGTTTCTTATATGTTGAAAACTAAATCAGAAACTGACTATGTTGGGAAATGAAAATAGTATGGCAGGGCAGGTATCAGCAGTCAGCAAGCTTGTTTTGATAGTTGTTTTATCAGAAAATTGGTGTTATATATAAATTCAGTGTTCGGACCAGACAGAACAGGAGTGACCAGTGGAACAAACAGGTATCCTAGAGACTCATATGAAAAGCAAATCTCACAGGAATCAAAATGTTTTTTACACTATATTAAAACAAAAAATGAAATGGTTATAAATTAATACAGTGTAAACATTTTTGCACTATTCTTATGGAGTATTATGACAATATTAATCATTTTATTGCATTCAAATATTGTTAAATTCAAGGTTAGTTATTGGTTGAGCTATGCTGAGTTATTCTATACAATTGAAGAGATTAAAGTTCAATCATGTAAGTATTGTGGGGGTACAAGAGGCTGGGTATAGTGAAACTGAAATTATTATGTACACAAGGTGAAAAAAAAGTACTTAGATTCTAAAAAAAAGTAATCTGCCAACAAACTTTGCCTTGCTGTGTGTAAGTATCTATATTAATTGCAGATGTAAAAGAGCAACTGAGCACTGTATATCTTATTGCCAGAATAGCATCTCAGAGTTTCAGAATCCAACCGGAGAGCCAAAAAGGGTTTTCTGCTGTCGTCACAACATCAGCATCCCTGTTTATTTTAACGTGTAGTGGAATTCCCTCTGACAACTAATGCCTTAAGGAAATATCCATCCGCCCAGCAGGGCCACAGAATTTTCCCTGAACACAAAACAAGCTTAGAGAAGAAGCAAGCGAGCCACAGAGGGACAGCACACAGTGAGGCTTTACTAATTCTAATGAAGGGTTGGCACGGACCGACTATTTGAGGCAAGCTCAGCGAACACTGGTCTGTTCAATAGGTGGGTGTCTGGCCCCTGAGCTCTGCACAAAATGAGCTACTCTGTTTAATGACCAGCTCAGGGTGGAGAGGGACACCCTGACTCAATATCGGCACACAGCCCACCGTGAGCTGGAAAGTGTTTATTTGTGTGAAGGTTTTCGTACAGTGTGTGTTTTTGTCTATTCGTGTGGAGTGGTAGGTCAGGTATCACTGAACCAATTGGCACATAGTTCATGTCTGACTGCAAAAACACGGCATGATACTAAAAAACATTTTCATAAAAGACATGGTAGAGTGATGAGATTGACTGTAAACCACTCATCTAAGTAGTGATCTGGTTTGTTTTTGCTTGAAAGACAGGCTTTAGGTGTGTGTAGTAGACCAGTCCATCATATGTGCTTTTGTTTTTTTAATCTTTATATTTACTGTAAAGACAAAAACTATGTTCAGTTTCTTTGAAAAAGGAATGGCATAACAACAAACACATTCAAGGAAGACTGTGTTTTGAAAATGAACATAACTATTGCTGTATTTTAAAAGTTATGGATTTTCTTATCACTTTTATCATATAGCATTCCAGTTGTTGTTCATGGCTTACATTGTCCTATTTATTGTTTAGAATTCCGCCAAGTTAGTCTCAGTTAGTATTAGTATTCAAATAAATTCTTCTATTTATGTACTACTACCTTAAACAAAAGTAATCAATCAGTCAATCAATCATCATTCAACCTGATGTTAGATTCTAAGAACTTTCTTTAGTACATATTAACACACATTTAATTATTTTTTAATTCTCTCTAACAAAATACCTCAGCAATAAAACTTAGGATGATTTTTAATAAAATTTTACCTGCCATTGTTAGCATAAACAGCATTGATAATTGATAAAAAATTGGCCCTCGTATAAATCCAACATTTGTTCCCTCTACTCAGTACTCATTAAATAGTTTGAAAATCTTTGCATTCTGTTTTTAGAATTTAAACAACACAATTCAGTTAACAAGTGGACTAGTTGCATGTTTTAGTTTTCAAAAGATCTTCTGGCTTGCACAACAATCGCTAACGCTAACACTGTACAGTATGGCACAGCCTTGCTTTTCTTAAATCATGAAGTTGTGTACAGCCCTTGTGTTACTAGGTTTACAATTTTGGTTTTAACTTAAATGTCTCTGTTTGATAATCGGAATCTGGGTTCTGAAACCCTTGTCTCCTCTTTTCAAAACAATCATCTCCAATAGTAGCTAAGGGGAATCATTTCGAGGGTGCTTGTGAACAGATGTGTGCTATGTTTGTCACCCTCTGAATAAAGCTATGACGTGTACTTGACAAAGACTCTGAAATAGGATGGAAGTGAGCTGAGACTAATGTGCATCCACCAGGCTGCCGCTGTGTGCTTTATCTCTTCTGACCTGATCTGCCGCTGGAACAATTTCACCTGCTCCACTGCCCCCGGGCTTATTCCACACCCAATAAATCTGTCTCTCTGCGACTTTATAGGGTATGCCAGGTGCCTTTTATCTGTTTTTGTATAGTGTGGTGTGCAGTGAGCTATGCTAGACGTCCCTGACCAAAGGTAGGGTAAACAAAAAAACTTGCAAACATGTTTTTTTTTGTTTGGTTGACTTTTGAAAGGAATCAATAAATATTACTAGAAAAAGCACAGTCTTCTTTAAGCACCCAAAGGAGGCATGGGAACTTATGTGAGGGCTGACATTAGAGGCCCTCAGAGTGGGAAAAATATATTTTTTCTCACTTGTCTCTGAAGTCGACTCAACTTGGGCTCCCAGCAGATGTGACAGTTTGCAACCACAACACTGTGACGATACCAGGATGTGGCATCTGTATTTTTTTTCTCTGTTCGAAAAATGACTACAGACTCTTAACACGTGTCTAAATGAGAAACGTTGACAACCCCATTTGGGTGAAAAAGCCTTTGAACGTCCCTACTTAAATGATACTTCTGTGGTTAGGATCACACATCAACACCTTTCAATCAAACTTAGAGGGATTTTTCTGACTTCAGTTATCTTCTCAACCCCCCCAAAATGTTTTGAATAACGGGAAGTCCCCCATCTTTTCCTCATTAAAGCAGCGATGACGATGTGATTGGGTCAATTATCAACTGCTGCAGAGATAAGAAAGTAGCCACGATATGCAGCTGCAACTCTATCATTTATTATTGGGAATTTTACATATGGTTTCACATGGAAAAGTCACGATAACCTAGTTATAAAATAATCAAAAGGTAGTTTGTAGAGAAAAATGTGTAAAACCAATAGTTTTTTAATGACATTTCCATTAAAGTTGTCTTTTTTTTATGTATTCAGAGGCTCAAACTCAACATAATGCAGATGCTATGTAGGGTTTCCTCAGCTTTTAGGACTGGATGATTAAAAAAAGCCCCAGTTTGACCATTTCTCTGACTTGTTAATTCACAAGCTCAAAGCCCCGTTGCTGTTTACTGTGGAAGGAAGCCCAACAAAGTTCCATCCAAAAGACACGAATTCCATCGCTAGCCTTTTTCTTTTTTGCATCGTTTAATATTTTCCATTGAAATCCAAATACACACATCTCCTTCCCTTTTCCTGCAAACTACCCTCCGCCCTCCTGCTATCTTGCAGGGATCAGGCTGGTTTTTCTGGAGGGCTGCAGCTGCAAATAGGAATTTCTTGTGCCAGATTGGCAGAATCCCATGGTCGGAAAAAAAGCTAATCCTCTGGTGGGCTCCCCCACAGAATCAAGGGGCACAAGGCCAAGGAGAAATCCCGGCCAACTATAACAAACAAAAAAAGGCTATCCCCAGTTCTCCCAGGCAGCACGTTCCACTGTTTGACAAAGGTTGCCATGGAGGTTGTTTTTCAGTTCATAACAGTGTCAACATGTCCAGGCGGTTGGCAAAATGACACTTTTTTCTTCCTCCGACAGCAGTGAAAAAAAAAAAAATTAATTTCCTCATGTGTGACGGTGCCAGATGAAACTATGTTACCATCAGAGGATGACAACCACAAACCATTTTTAAAATATAGGCCGACTGCAATCTAGATATACTTTTGTCTGTCAGTTATTTTTTATTTTGTAAGATAACAGTTTGGGGAAACTTTAACTCCAAAATAAGGAAGAGGTGTAACCTCCTGCCTGCAGCTGGACGTCTCTTGACATCAATTCAGTCAGAGGGTAATGGGGTTGACAAGCATAAGTATAAACATATGAGTCACAATCCCTGTTATTTCCACCTTGAATGGGACCTTAACTACTCCTCCAAGCGAGGATTGTTTTATCAGTTGTCTTGGCTTTGTTCAGAAAAATGCTGTGGTGCTTCAACTTGATTGGAATATGTAAAAAGTAGATGGCATGGATACTGTAAATATCCGCCAATTGTTCTTTGGGAACTCATTTTTCAGTTGGTTGGTCTTGTCACTCATTCATTTTATACATATCAATCTCATTATGTTCCATAACATGGAATGACACACTTACACAGAGAATAAAGGCATTAACTTACACTCACCATCATCTAGGTAGGCCTGGTCCAGGTTCTCCTCCTTGACGGTCACTCGTCTTTGCCCGTCTCCCGGAGACTCCATCTGACCAATTCCAGTCGGCGCCCGGCTTTTCTGCTGCTCCTTCTGGACATAGGGCTGCTGCTGCTGGATCACAGTGGGACAGTGCTGAGCCTGGGGGTGTGTGGGCGAGTGAGCGGCGGCCTGCGGAGGGTATCCGTCACAGTAGACGATCTGCTGGGTATCGTCGGGCTGATGCGGGGTATGGGGTTCTCCGACCCGGAGCATGTGGTGATTGGAAGGGGAAAACTGGATGATGGAGCCTAAAGACTGAGCTGGCGATCCTGTGTGGACCAGGACGGAGCGGTGATGATCGGGCATCATCCCTCCAGTCTGCCAAACACCAGGACCGCCGCCGTGACTCTTCCCCCCACAGGAATAGACTATAGCTGGGCCCTGATGCGGGAAACGCGCGTCTTGGTTGGGAAGGGTGGAGCTGAGGCGATGGCTGGAAGCCATGCCAGAGACCAGGCCATTGTCTGGATGGAGGGTGTTGCGAAAGTTATGGGTATAGGAATGAGGAGATAACCCCAAAATCTGAGGCATCGCAAAGCCCATGCGATCGGCTTCATACTCATCTATGGGTTCGGTCTTAATGGACGGCGCTAGAAAAAAGACCAAATCAGAATACTATGAACATTGTTCAAATGCCACAATCGGAATACCTCAGGATTCTTACATGCTAAAGGCGTGAAGGTGAAATGCTGGAGCTGACTGCGCTTTCGCTTGCCGTTGACGACGTAAAAGTTCACTTTGACGGAATGGCAGAGGGACGTATCCGGGTACGACGGCACCTCCAAAAACAGCATACTCTGAAAACACAGGGCTCTATTATGAACTGAAATTTGAAATGAACAATGGAAACAGAAGCAAAACAAGCATTTATATATAGATATTAGATGTTTAACACATACCGGCTGGCTTTTATCTTTGTCCACTGTTGCTTCCATCTCCCAGATTTGCTGGCCTTCTAGAAAGAAGTGAAAAGGACATGTGAAGATCTTGTCATCAGAACAATGTTGTTTCTAGTATTACAAGGTTTCTGAGGGCTATCAAAGAAATTGAGGATGCTAATCTTTGTGCTTGAAATATGGAAAAAAAGGTTTACCCAAACTAATTGAGAGACAACCTGTCTTGCTTTGAATAGCGTTTTATTTGAAAAGACAAAATATACAATCTGAAACAAAAATCAAACAAAAAAAGATGGATTTGAAATTCAAAATATCATCTATTAACCGATCAATCTGTTAAATTAAGTGCTTTTTGTCATTGGATTTTTTTTTAGAACTGAATAAAATATCACCCAGTCTGATTATTCCATATTTCATTCCAACAGCTGCAGCAACCATGTGTATTTGTAGGCAGAATGTTTTGAAACCACCTCCAGCCAAAACAAAGGCAGATGATTTTCCTTCAGGAGTATCTCACACACACACACACAAATCACTTATCCCAAAGACTTGAAACCCACAACCTCACAAACGTGCTCATGGCAGTGGTGTTGACAGACTTCTAATGTAAAATGGGATGTGTTGGGAACTGTGAGCATTACAACCACTCCACACAGAACTGGTTCATATCACACCACACCTCATCAATAACATTTAAAATTCCATTTAGGCGCAAAAGTTGAAAACACGATTTGACAAACTGAACATGCCCCAAACATTTGGACGAAGGCTGCAGAGTTTCAATGTTACTGTAGGTGGGAAACCCTCTGTCAAAACTGCAAATTAAAAACACATGGCCTAAATGAGTCAGCAAGAGAAAGGGGGATTCCAGGCAGGCTGCCAGTTTTTTTTCTTTTTAAATCTTAATTTTATGATCAATTCTCTCCACTTCAACAAAACTCGACTGCTGCTTTCTTGGCGTTTGTGTATTGTTTGCGTTCTGTTGTTTTTTCTCTCTAAGGGATACCCCAGTCTTGTTTCCTTTCCTGAGATAATTGTGATTGGAGGTGGAAAAGGGGGAGCTGTGTAGCTGGGGAAAGTGCTGGGGCATTTTGGCTTGGAACGCTTTTCTCCCTCTATGTAGATCTCTATCCAAGAAAAAGAGCTGGTGAAGTTTCAGCGAGTTGCAGCTGTCTCTCATTCAAAAGGACCTCACGGCCTAACTGGTCCAGAACTTTGTGAGTTGTGCTAATTCTCCAAAACAATGGCAACATCTCTTTCCAACTTTCCCTTTCCTCTCTATCTGTGTTGAGTGTTGCAGTAAAATTCCAGGGATCCCCCAATAAAAAAGGGAATAAGAAGAAACCTAAAGCCTGAATAGTCATGTTTAAACTTTAGTTGACATAGGTGAAAACTGATTGTATAGATTTACTGGACTAAGAAAAGTTATTAACAAGGGGATACATCCTGGAAACACACACAAATAAAAGAACTGACACAAAAAGGAGGGAAACTTGGTAAATTACTTTAGTCCCATCTATAAAATCTGACAACTATTATAAAACTCTTATCCAGAGCAATTTAGCTGTTAACAAATGTACCTGAAATGACTTTCTATGCGACATACAAAACATTAATCCCATAACAAAAGGCCCCTTTGAATGATGCAACATAATGGAAGTCAGTGAGAAAGAAAAGGGCAAAAGGAAGTCAGGTGGCGGTATTATCCTCTGGATCATGCAAATAACTCATGTGGCTCCATCTGAACAACAACAGTCATAAAACAAAATGGAGAAACTACAAACATGGTAGAAACTAATCAAAATAAGTAATTTGTAACAGTGATTGTTGTGGCATGCGACTCCATTTTGTCTAAAACTGGAACATACAGACGATAAAGATTTTAGAGAGTCAGTAACAGATCAATGAGACAGTGCCACTCACCGAGGTTTTTCTCAAGGAAGATGACTTTTGAATCGGAGCTGAAGTTCTGCCCGGTGAGGATCATCTGCTGGCCGCCCAGAACAGAGCAGCTGTCCATGTCCTGCTTCTCCACCATGGGAAGCTCATGAGCTGAGCGTTGAGCTGAGAAATACACAGAAGGGTGTCGTGAACCATTTACTTTGCCCTAAAATTACCATTTTCATTGTGAGAATCTTCTTCTTCTCCATGTTTTATATCATTACATTTTTAAACTCCCTCTGGAGCACTTATTTTTCATATAATAAAGCTTTTCTATAAGAAAAACATTCAAGAAAACTCTGATTTCTTTGGGGAATGGAATTTGGAAATGGCTCTCCTTTTCCTCATTCGGTAATTAGGATGTTTGAATGGCCAACAGAAGATAACTTATGTATGATTAATCAAATTAAATTAATCATATCTGCAATGCAGATTATGAGAAACTATCAAAAACTAATGTTTTGGCACAAATACACACCCACTCATTATCAAGCAGAAGCTCTGGTTTACAGTAAAGGTTTAATCACTTAATAACAAACGCACTGCTCATAGTTTTGAAACTGGGTCAAATAATAATGGGGTAATATGAGATCCATATCCATAGACAACATAAGCAGGCAATATGCAATAAGTATTATTTACGGGTGAAAAGAAAGGAGGCTGATTGCAACATTTGTAAAGTAAATTACAATCTTGTATCATGCCAGTTTTCCAACACAAGCTTGAATAGTTTGATGAGCTTGTGTGTTAATCCAAACTACATCAAAAGCACTCATGTTTAAGGCATGATTGCAAATGTTACCTTAACCCTTGCAAAATGTATCATATTTGATTCATATACGGTTTCTGAAATGTTTCGCGTCTGACACCTTTTACATAATTTAATGGTAAAAACTTTGCTCAAAATCCTATTGTACACAATCAGATACACCTGATAACAGGGGACAGAAGACTACATAAAAAATCATCTTGATTTATCGCATAGTAATAAATTATTAACATCAAAAATGTATTTTTGTTTTTTCTTTTTACATATTTTGTCAAAAGGCTAAATAAGGACTTCAAACCAAAAAAAAAGTAATTTTCTGTTTTGTTATATTCTAGGATCAGGCTTTAAAGGGTTAATAACATCATGTACACATACACTGATGTACCCGAAAATGAACTTTATGGCCATCCACACACAAATACGCAGACAGTGAAACATGCTGCGCCCACATATTGGAAAGAAGCCCCGCTAGCATAAAAAGGTCTTTCTGCACAAATTCTGGAATATCTGCCAAGCTCCAACTTCGCTCGAATGTTGGTGTTTTTGTATTTGTTTATCTTGTGTAAGGTTGCGTGAACCTATTCAACCCTGAGCTTAAATTTGTATAAATTTACACTACAGTAAGATTTGAAAAAAAATGGATTTGCTGCTTACAACACTCGATGGGATGTGAAGCTGCTTGGAGGGAGACGTGCTGTCCTCCAGGCTGAGGTATGTGCACTCGGAACACAAGACGGACCCGGGTGTTTTTCCGACCGACATCTGTCTCGCCCTTTCTCAGCTCGATGTCAGCATTCCTGAGCTTCAGGATCCCGGCACAGTCGATTCTGTAGGAAAAGAAAAAAACATTTAAGCAAAGCATTCTTTAAATTGCAATTTCGGTGCCTGATCCGTGACGGAAAAATAAGTAGGATGTGGTCGTCTCACATTGCCTTCATGTTGTTCTTTGGCTCTAGTGGGATCTCGAGGACTTTAGTGCCATTGACAATCTTCTCAAAGCTGCTGGTGGTGACGGTCTTGCCGGTGATGCGGTGAACTTGATAAAAGGCGTGAGGCTTGAGAATGCGCTCGTCTGCTGTACCGATGAAAATCTGAAGGCCAAGAGGCTCCTTTCCTCTATAGCCATGTAACTGTACACAAAAAAAAACAAAATTGATGTTAAAATGCTTTTAATCTTATTTGACTTTTTTGTTTGAACAGTTGGAGGCACCTTTTTATAACAATTAAATATAGAAAGTAATAATAAAACTTTTGTAAAAGTAGAACATCTTACTCCAGTTAACCCTATAATGCCAAATGTATCATATTTGATACATATGGTTTTGCGTCTGACTCCTTTTCATAATTTAATGGTAAAAACGTTGCTCAAAATCCTGTTGTACACATTCAGATATACCTGATAACAGGGGGCAGAAGACTACACCAAAAATAATCTTGACTTATCGCATAGAAATAAATTATTAATATTACAAATGTATTTCTGTTTTTTCTTTTTACATATTTAGTTTGAAGGCCAAATTAAGACTTCAAACCAAAAAAAAGTTATTTTCTGTTTTGTTTTATTCTTGGATCAGGCTTTAAAGGGTTAAGGATTTCCAACTGAAACTATGAAGTGATAGATTTGCTACTTTTACCCTAAGAGTACCTCCCAAGGAAACCTGCAAAAACCACAAATTGCTTCTAAATACAGGTTTTGTGCAAACTGTGTATTGCATAACCTTTAATACAGAACCATGCCATAAAAAGGTTAAGCAAAAATCTAAGCAACAGAGCAGGTAATCTTGCATTGCCCTGCCATTTACCCTGTTTAAATACAACATTTCATTTTCAGTTCGCTAAAGAATTGCATGGGGAAATGCTTTTTTTTTTAATTATCTGCGGATATAACTGTTACAATGTACGGCAGCTGGTCAGTGTGATCTGAAACTATGGCAACATGAATGAGCAGGCTCCCTCCATAACCAGGTGACGTCCGGCGTGAGTGAGGAAGCTGTCTGAAAACACAGAGCGGGCCATGTGAGCGGTCGACTCGTTGCCATGGCAGCGGTAGGAGCAGTGAGTCATGACAAGAGAGCAGCGTAGGAAAAGTAAAGTGGAGAGCGCAAGGCTCGGGGTGAGGGGGGAAAGAGAGGAGAAAACACAGAGCAAATGAGAGGTAAAGGGGGGAAAGAAAAAGATGAGATGGAGTGCAACTGTGGCTAATAAGGCCTGACCATCTGATTGGCCCAACGGTTCAGACAAAACTGACCTCAGGGTAAGGCGTTTGGGGATGGGCAGAATATGGAAAATGAGTAGAGGAAGTCTTATATCCACAAAGTTTCAACTGTCACCCAACAAAAACAGCATTAAAACGTTGCCACAGTTACACCAAGAAAGGGAAGTCAAAAACTTTTTTATGAAGACTGTGGCCACAAGCAACTGAGTCACAGGTAACAAAAGACAAAGCAAAACTTTTTTTGGACCTGACCTGCATTTGCAAAATGGATATTTTAACATATATATACACGGAGCTTGTTATTCTTTATCAGGTCAACTTACTGCGACAAGAGTTGTGAAACCATAACAAACTATTTTAAGCCGGAGGGGAAGTGAAAAAAAGATGAGAGGCTGCATAGTTCGCCAGGCTGAATTCTGTTATGAGGGCGGGCCGAAGACTAAAGGATGGTTTCGATGTGTCACATGTCTGTGGTTGTGGGGTCCACGACTGTCTGTTGTAGAAAGTGAGACCTGGTGCCTCGAGAGTAATGAGTAGGAAACACCATAACAGGAAACCTCAGCCGTCAAGTGCAGCCTCAGCATGAGCTACGAGGACATCTAAATATTCAATTCAATTCAATTTTATTTATATAGCGCCACATCACAACAACAGTTGTCTCACAGCGCTTTCCAAACAGAGCAGGTCAGACCCTACTCTGAAGATAATTACAGAAACCCAACAATTCCCACCATGAGCAAGCACTAGGCGACACAGGCAAGGAAAAACTTCCTTTAAACAGGCAGAAACCTCGAGCAGAACCATGGCTATCTTCTGAATCACGCTCTATTCGGTACCTAAGCTTTTTTTACATACCTGCACAACAGGATGCCCTCCCGTAGGGGCTTTGACCGCCCCCCTGCTCCCCTCCGTCTCATAGTGAGCTCTGTGATGCGGTTTAGGCTGCACCTCGATGTGGAGCTCGTACTGGTCCGTACGACTGGGAATGGGCCATTCCAGCGGAGGGAGCGAAGCCAAAGGGATGCTACCGAGAGGTAGAAAAGATATATTCGATTCAATTAAATTTTATTTATATAGCGCCACATCACAACAACAGTTGTCTCACAGCGCTTTCCAAACAGAGCAGGTCAGACCCTACTCTGAAGTTGATTACAGAAACCCAACAATTCCCACCATGAGCAAGCACTAGGCGACACAGGCAAAGAAAAACTTCCTTTTAACAGGCAGAAACCTCGAGCAGAACCGTGGCTCAGGGTGGGCGGCCATCTGCCTCGGCCGGTTGGGGGTGAGGGAATGACATATCGATCGTCTGATATATATGATATGATATATCGTAAAGATCGTAAACATGATTCGCATTGTACATTGAGCTCTTGTGCATTTATTTTTTTACTTTCTCGCCATCTTACCTGCAGATACTGGAAACCAGTGGCTTGGGCCATATTTGGGGGATGACAAAGAAAGGCTCTGCTGAAGCTTTGGCCTTTATGTCCTGATCACAGGACACTAGGTAGTTCCTCTCTGCGTGGTTCTCCGGGTACAGAGCGTAAACCTGGTTGGACGTTTTGACTATTTTAGTGGGCACCTGGCCCGGTTGACCGCTGCCAAAGCCGTTCAGGTCGCCGGCCAGGCTGTTGCGGGTATAATGGGCTCCTGTGTTGGGGTCCTCTTGGGCGTTGTGTGGGGAGGGGCTGCGGGAGCGACGCCCGGGGACCAAACCCGGATTCCTGTACATTTCGTAGGTGCGTTTCCCCTGAGGGGAGGTTGAGCGGGAGCCGGGCCTGGGGGAGGGCGACCTGGGCACCAGGCCGCTGTCCTCGGCCAGACTGGCCCGAGGGGAGGTGCCCGGGGAGCCGGTGTGGATGTTTTGCAAGCGGGGGCAGAGGTCTCCGGGGTTCTGGCCGCTGCTGGGGGACACGCAGGGGGACGCCCAGGGGGAGTAGCTCTCCGAGTGCCAGCTGGTGGAGGAGTTGCTGCTGGCCGGACTCAGGCAGAGAGGCTCACGATACGCAAGATTGTCATGGCCAGGAACGGTCAGGGTGGGCCTGGGGCTGATGTTCAGGTGCTGGTTCTGAAGGGAGTCCGGGCCATGGCTGTAGAGCTCACGGGAGGGGGTGATTTCAATTCGGGGGCTCAGGGCCAAGCCCGCGGGTCGGCCGCCGTCCAGGTAGATTTTGGCCTCCGGATTCTCATACCCTGAAAGAACTTCTGTGTTTTGCTCTGCGTACGAGGGGCTGCAGGATTTGATCCTGTACGGAGAAGTCTCATGCAGGGGGAAAGCCTGCTCTGATTCAGGACCGAGAACTTTGTGAGATGCGAGGTTGGGTTCATCTAAAAGGGGGGGTAAAAAAAGAAAAAAGAAAAGGTGTTAGCTAAATAAACAGGTATTTTCATTACTCCAAGAACAAAACATTTGACTATTAGTTAATATACAAGCTTGTCCAATTTGTACTTCCTGATTTTTTTTTTTTTCATTCACGTGAACAAACCTTACAGGAAAGCAATAATCTGACACTGCACCGAAAGAAGAACCCAAAGAGAAACAGGATCAGCCTAAATCAAACAAACCTTGATATCCCCCGACAAAGTTGGCGCACGGTGGCTCATATTCAAATAAGTAGTTAAACTCCAAATCTTCATCGGGGCAGTTGACTCGAGAGAGCTCTTCCTCCAGATCCTTTTCGTCGTAAAAGGTCATCTGTCTATTATTATTTTGTTTCCACCCCCACCTATCCTGTCGTCGGGTGTCGACAGAAAACGCGACGGGAGACGAAGGTTTTCGTTTGGGGACCTGTTCGAGCGTAAAACCCGTGCATCGGGGAGGTGAAACACGCACAAGTTTCCTGTTTCAGTTCGTCGGGGGGGTTATTTTCAGACGAAGGCGTGTCTATTTACAAACCGAACGCAGTGTGTGTCTGCGTCCCCCCCCCCCCCCCCCCCCCCCCCCCCCCCCCCCCCCCCCCCCCC